CCTGGTAAGCAAAACTGGTGTTCTGGCATAGTTTCTAGTTTTCCTGCGCATCAGGACAGTTTGTTTCTGCACCCTCAGTAAGGTTTCTTTAAAATATGACCATCTGTCCTGGACTCCTTTCCCCCTTAGACTGGTCTTGCGGGGAGGGGATCCTGCCCATCAGTTCCCTGTGTGAGTAAAAAAACTGATTTTCTGAAGTCCAGGGTCCTTACTCTGCTGCTCTCCTTCCTCCCTTCCTTTCCCCAAGATCCTAAACTCAGTCATCTCTTGGTAGTTGCTGCCAAAGTTGCCATCCACTACTACACCCCCCACCTTGTTTGTGAGCCTTGCTTCCTTGTTTGTGAGCAACAGGTCTAGAAGAGCATGGCCCCTAGTTGACCTCTCCAACACTTGCACCAGGAAGTTGTCCCCAGCACTTTCCAAACATTTCCTGGATTGTCTGTGCACTGCTGTATTGCCCTCCCAGCAGTTGTCAGGGTGATTGAAGTCCCTCATGAGAGCCAGGGCCTGTGATCAGGAAACTTCCACTAGTTGTCTGAAGAAAACCTCATCTACCTCATCCTCCTGGTTTAGTGGTCTATAGCAGACCCCCACCACTATAACCCTTGGTGCTCTTCCCTCTGACCCTAACCCAGAGATTTTCAACAGGCCTGTCTCCAGGTTCATATTGGAGCTCTGAGCGATTATACTGCTCTTTTATATAAAGTGCAACTCCTTCTCCTCTTCTTCCTTGCCTATCTTACCCGAACAGTTTGTGCTTATTTCTCAGGCTGTTGTATTTGTGTACCTAAGGAAACTAGCCAATTGCCCTACTTTCTCAAGAAGAATGAGGCCTCCCGTGTTGCCCCCTCCTGCTTGTGCTTCCTCCAAGTTGCTCACTTCCCCACTTACCTCAAGGATTTAGTCTTCATCCCCCAGTGAACCTAGTTTAAAGCCCTCCTCACTAGGTAAGTGAGCCTGTCTGAGAACATGCTCTTCCCTCTGTCAGGGGGATCTCATTTCTTCCTAGCAATCCTTCTTCTTGGAAAAACATCCCATAGTAGAAGAAGCCAAAGCCCTGCTGGCAACACCATCTGTGCAGCCATGCATTGATCTGTAGGAAGCTAGAGATATGGAGAAAGAGAGGACTTTGGGGAGTGGATTTGATAACCGTCTTCAAATACTTGAAGGATGATTACATAGATGTTGGAGGTGAGCTTTTTTCTGTGGCCATAGGGAACAGGACTAGGAGCAATGACTGCAAGTTTCTGGAGAGGAAATTTAGGTTGAAGATTAGGAAGATCTTTCTGACTATGAGGGTGGTCAAGCATTAGAACAGGCTGCCTTGAGAAGCTGTGGAATATCCATTCCTGGAAATTTTCACGAACAGGTTGGACAGACACTTGGCTGGGATGATTTAGTTGGAGATGGTCTTCCCTTGAGTTGGATTAGATGACCTTATGAGGTCCCTTCCAGGCCACTTTCATATGATCCTTTAAATAGATTCTTGTTAAATACAGATAGCAAGGAGCAGAACAACGTAACCTCTCATTCTTTTCCAAACATAAAGCCCATATGCAAAACAACTTCTTTTAAGAATAATTCTGATAAATAATTTCAAAGTCAAGCATTTGGAAATTTCAAAAGCATGAGAAGTCTATGTTCTAACAACACCCCTTCAGCCTCTTATAGTATCTAGACATAATCAGATAATACTGGGGGGGGGTTCATGTAAACTGCTCTTCAGTACACAAAATGAATAGTGCTTTGGGAACAAGGCAGCTGTTCAAAAGTCTCTTAATCATGAGCATTAATGGTGTACCCTCATATCTTAGTCATAATTCAGATAGTTCCAGTCGCACCTGGGAACCCTCATTTCTTCCATAAATAAGATCCCTAGGTCTAAAATTGGGCACCCAACAATGAGAAGCATCTGTTAGTAAACACTTAACAAAAAGTTTTTGAGTGACTTGCCCAACCTCACATAAGTACTCTGTGATAGAGCCAGGAAAGGTGAATGCCATATAAGACATTTTTTTTGGCCTTAACCTTCAACTAGCTTCTCTGCTTGTGTTCCTTATCTTTGTTCTTTGACCTAAATGTCGAGATCAGATAATACAGGGCTTCTGTGAACTGTATAATTCACTAGACAGCACTTAAGTTACAGTCTGTCCTGCATGCTGGGTGAGGTAGGTTAGGAGTCTGGTCAGAAATAATGATTTCACTGTACTACATGTGGGCAAGGGAGCAGAATGGAAGTAGTATAAACAATGGTGTCTTTTTAAATTTCTGTTGTTTGGCTTTATAATGCAAGTATGTTAGAAGGAACTTAACTTCTGAAATGTTCCCTATTTAAAGAAAGAAGAGTAAAACATATTGTGTAATGATTCAGCTGTATGTGAACCCCCGTTATGTAGTATAAACAGCGTTTGAATTTTTAGCACTAAAGCAGATTGATACTAGGTGAACTGCAGGACTAGGTGAATTATAAGACTGCTTTAGTTGGCAGTAGGAAAATACTTATTCCTCAGATAAATGTAGGGGGAAAGGGAGAACTTGACTGACTGTTGGGGTGCTAGGGTCAGTGAGTAGGCTCTCAGTAAATGCCAGGCAAATATTCTTCCACATGCAACCCAAGAGTCTGCCTGTTCCTGTGACTCCCCAGTGCAGCGTTTGCTTCTGCTGCTGTGGTGATGTGCAGTCAGCATTGTAGTTGTTTTGGTGAGCTGTCAACATTTTTGCTGATTGCTCAAGCACCCAAAGGAAAATAATAACTTTATAAAACTTAACTCGGGCAAATCTGCACAGAATTTCAAGGGACTAAAGAAAAGCAATTCTATGGCTCCAGGGCTTTTTTCGTGTCTAATTTCAAAGGCCTGTTGCAAACAGTAGAGACATTATATTGGCTTAGAGAAAAGGCCACAAGAATCATATGTGGTATAAAATGTCAAGTGGTCTACACTTGAAGCTTCTTATGTGTCTTCTTGCAGGATGCACAATTTAAATTACGTACAGTAATGTTGTTAGAAAAATATATGACAATTTATATTTATCTCATGGATTTGTGTCCAGTGGTCATATTTATATCATAGATTCATAGATGTTAGGGTCAGAAGGGACCTCAATAGATCATCGAGTCCGACCCCCTGCATAGGCAGGGAAGAGTGCTGGGTCTAGATGACCCCAGCTAGATGCCTATCTAACCTCCTCTTGAAGACCCCCAGGGAAGGGGAGAGCACCACCTCCCTTGGGAGCCCGTTCCAGACCCTGGCCACTCTGACTGTGAAGAAGTTCTTCCTAATGTCCAGTCTGAATCTGCTCTCTGCTAGCTTGTGGCCATTATTTCTTGTAACCCCCGGGGGCGCCTCGGTGAATAAAAACTCACCAGTTTCCTTCTGTGCCCCCGTGATGAACTTATAGGCAGCCACAAGGTCGCCTCTCAACTGCATTCTGTTGTTTTCTGCCCACTTGTCCAACCTGTCCAGTTCTGCTTGCAGCTGTTCCCTGCCCTCCGGTGTGTCCACATCTCCCCATAGCTTTTTGTCATCTGCAAACTTGGACAGAGTACATTTCACTCCCTCGTCCAAGTCACTGATGAGGACATTAAAGAGTATCGGTCCAAGGACCGAACCCTGTGGGACCCCACTGCCCACACCCTTCCAGGTCGAAACCGACGCATCCACCATGACTCTCTGGGTGCGACCCTCTAGCCAATTCTCTGCCCACCGGACTGTGTAGTCATCCAAGTCACAGCCTCTTAACTTGTTCACCAGTATGGGGTGGGATACCGTATCGAAGGCCTTCCTGAAGTCTAAGTATACGACATCCACCCCTCCTCCTGTGTCCAGGCATTTCGTAACCTGGTCATAAAAAGAGACTAGATTAGTCAGGCACGATCTGCCTGCTATGAACCCATGCTGGTTTCCCCTCAGCATAATTTGTCCTGCTGGGCTCTCGCAAATGTGAGCCTTGATAATTTTTTCAAAGACTTTGCCAAGGATGGAGGTGAGACTGACTGGCCTATAGTTGCCCGGGTCCTCCTTCCTCCCCTTCTTGAAGATGGGGACCACATTGGCCCTTTTCCAGTCCTCCGGGACTTTGCCCATGTGCCACAAGCGTTCAAATATTCCCGCCAGTGGTTCTGCAGTGATGTCGGCCAGTGCCTTCAGCACCCTCGGATGGAGCTCATCCGGGCCTGCCGACTTAAAGGCATCCAGTTCTTCCAAGTGACTCTGCACCATCTCAGGGTCTACGCATGGTAGTCTGGCGCCTTGCTGCTGCCTCTCTACAACCCCAGTGAGAGACTTGTTGTGCCCCTCGCTCAAGTAATATTGTTAGCACAATTCCTTATGGGAATCCCTTTCTGGCAGCTTAATTAACTTGTTTTTTCCTTTGCCATTCCAAAGGACTTGAAAGTTGAATAGCATGGAGGGTGGTTGAAATCTCTTTATGCTTCCATAACAAATATTTATTTGACTTTAACAGTTCAGTGCCATTTACAAGCAGGGATGGAATTTTGGCCTTGACTTGTCTGAAATGATATCTCTGCAGAACATCCTTATTTTTTGCTGGCTGTGTAGTCCTGCATAAAAGTTCACAAATTTTGTACAGCAGTATCAATAGCAACACAATGTAGTGAGAAGTGACAAATACAATAGTAGTGGGAAAGCAAAACTAAGGACTTATCAAATCAACCCAAAGCTTCTTGCCTGTAGTGTATTCACAGCTTTTGCTATGCATGAGCATTACAATAAGAGATTTGTTCAACAGTTGTTCAAAGTGACAATTGTGTAGACAGGACAAAGAGAAGTTCACAAACTGCTTAAATGTTTGTTCCTGTGGTGAGGAAAAGAGGGGAGTAACTTCCTAAAGGGCATACATCTTTGACAAAGTTGAGAATGGAGCCTGGAATAAATTTCCTAGACTTTAACCAAAAGCCTATCCTACTTATGTGGTGGGAGCTGAAAGCTTTTCAGAGCTCTGTCTCTGAATATTGACGTAAAATCTCATTTCCATCTTAGGTAAAAAATAAGAAGCTGGTTGAACTACTGAGGAGGAAGGTTCGCCTTGCTCAGCCTTATGCTGGTGTCTTTCTAAAGAAAGATGACAAGTAAGTATCCATCTCTCTATAAGTATACAGTCTCACTACTACTTAGGCTTGTCTGCATCAGGAAAGATGAGGCCCAAAATTGTTAACCAGAAGTGACATTGGTAGCAACAGAAAGGTTTGAAAAAGCCATAATTGCAAAATGTAAATGAATATCAGGTCTGTGTGCTAGTTGCTTTGTTCACAGAATTATTTAAGTTTCTTTCAAACAGACCTCAAAGACAAGAAATGTGAGGAGTCCCAGAATAAATATGTCTGAGCAAGATTCTGAATGTTTACTTTTAAATATTTTTATCAGCAATGAATCTGATGTTGTAGAAAACCTGAATGAGATCTACCAAACAGGAACTTTCGTTCAGATCCATGAAATGCAGGACCTTGGAGACAAGCTGCGAATGATTGTCATGGGGCATCGAAGGTAAAAGCATCTTCTACACAACTTAGATATTTTACCAGACTCTTCATGAACAGGCACATTCATTAAGCTTTTGTCACTCTATATACACTAATATATGTACAGTGTTCAGAGAAAGAGGCTGTGGGTTGCGATCTCTTGGGTTTTTCTTGGTAGGGGTGGAGGCAGTTCATGAGGGAGATATATTTGTAGGGTCATAGAAATGTGTGGTACTTCAGATGAATGCCAGATAAGTTTCAATCTGGAGTAGGGATGTAAAAGGTTGAACAGTAATTATATGTATACCATTTAATGTTTACCATTTATCTCCTGGCTTTGGTGCTGTCCACTGTTGGGGGAGAAGCTCTGGAAGGGGCTGCCCAGGAGGCAGTGTGGATCTGGGCTGCAGCATCGTGTGGCTGCTGTAGTAGGGATGTAACTAGTGGTAACCTGGGGGAGCAGAGCTGGGCAACGTTGAATGGCGGAGTCAGCAGGGCTTAAATAGGAGCAAGCGCAGTGGTGGGTCTGCCATCAGGTACCGCAGAGGCAGGATGCACAAAGCCAGGTGCCCCCGGCCCCCTCCCTCCCTCCCTCCCTCCCTCCCATAGCACCCAGAGGGGCTTCTACCTGCCAGGACAGCCACACTGTACCCAGGTGCCCACAGGTGCCTGGAGCCCCAGGAGGTGCCTCCCTCTTGCCCAGCCCCAGACGCCAGCAGCTGCTACTTGGCAAGGACCCACCTGGAGTCTGTTCTCCCAGGCCAGGGTCGTGTGGCGGGCAGATGTGTCACTCAGGATTGCGCTCAAGGCATCCATCTGTGGGCTGAGTGCCCCCTTTGCTAGGAGCCTCAGTACCAGGGCAAGTCTTCAACCAAGTGGGAGGAGTGTGGTACTGGCCCAGCTGCTGGCTGCATCCAGACAGGGAAAGGAGTGGCGCGGCAGTGGGAAACACCGAGCCAGGGACCCTGCCATACCACTGCCTGCTCCTGCACACTCGCCTGCTGTGGCCACGGTCTTCAGTCGCAACTGGTAGCAGAACTCATTGCAGTCCCACATATCACCCTTGGCCCTGGCTCCCTACACTGTCCTGCCCCTCTGCTGTGGGACCATTTAACCAATATAATAAGAGGAGGTTAAACAGGTAATTTTTAAAATGATATTTACATCCGTAGTCTGGAGGAATTTAGGAAATAGACAGCTTATCTTGTAACTCATATATTGTTCATTCCTGAAAGTTCATTCATTTGTTCTTTCCTCTTATGTGATGATGGAGTGAACATGGGCATAATGGAATCTCTTACAGGTACTCGTAGAAATAAAGCATCTGCTTTCTTTAATGGGTTAGGTTCTTCAAAATACAAGTTTTAAAAACTAATTCCACTTTCTTGTAGAGCAGGAATTTACAGAAGCTAAATCAGTAGCCAATGTACTCTTTCATGCTTCAGTTTATTTTTCTAGAGCTTGTTTGGCAAATCCCATTTTTATCTAGCAGCTAGTCTCTGTATTTTCAAAAGAGTAAAACCTGAATCTCACCAAAATATAACCCAGGCTTTTTTGTCACATTAGTTATAGTGAACAAACAACTGAAAACAACTCTCCCTTTACCCATTTTAGAGCTGCAGCCATGTGTACCAGTGTTTGGCTTGCAAAGTTGTTAACAGCTATCTCTTCTTTGCCTTCAGAATTTGTATAAATAAGCAACTAGAGATTGAGCCTGAGGAACATGAGGCTGAGAATAAGCACAAAGCAAGAAAGAAGACGAAGCGCTCTAAGAAAGAGACTGAAGAGTCTGATATGAAGGGCCAAACTACAGAGCTGGTCCTCGAGCCTGTAGCACGCTCATCACCAGAAGTGCTTATGGTAGAAGTGGATAATGTTCTTCACGAAGATTTCCAGGTCACAGAAGAAGTCAAAGTGAGTGACAGAATTGTGTAAGGAAGGTGAATGATGTGAGAATGTATATCCAAACCTGAGGTTTCCCAGTAGGAAAACATCCAGCCTGTCTTGTTAAAATGAAAGGATAGTATAATTATAGAACTTCCAACTGGAGACTGTTGGAAAGTGCATGTTTCTTAGTCATAATCTTCATATAACCCCATTGTAATAATTCTTCTGATAACAACAGGTCAGTTCAGAGTGTCTTAGGTCCCTATGTAACTGACTTGGATTGTGCTGTGTTCATTAATATTCTGTGTCCTGTGGAGTGTTGTTCTAAGGTGGCTGACTAAAAAATTGACCATAGTTTTCTTCAAGGGTTCTGTTTAAAGGACTAGTCTGGAGTTCTGTGTATAGTGTAGTCCAGTTTATAGCCTCTCTCTCCTTTCATCCAAGTACAGTCAGTGGGGCAGAGAGAATATCCATAGTAACAGTAGCTAAAATTAGATGGGACTCCAGGCTAGTCTTCAGTCTGAGTGTCCATTATCAAGGGAAGGGGGTGAGAGCACGTGATATTCTGAGCTCCAGTGTGGGAGGAATGTTCTACTAACCCTGATGCTTTGCAGGGTTAAGATCCTTATCCTATCTGACAAAGATGAGGACTTGTGAACTAGCCAGACATGTACATAATCATAGTAAACCACTGTGCAGGACCACTGACATGCTTCAGTTGTTTGCTGTGGAAAAAAAATACCTCTGAAATAAGGGTCAATCAGCTGCATGAGGTAATTTAGGATCTCCAGCCATGCAGCTCTCATAATATAGCAACCCACTGTGAATTAAGTGGGTTGTAAACCACCCAGATATGAATGATCCAAGCTCTGCTTTATTAGTGTAGTATTTATGCTCTTTCCAAAAGCTTCTTATTTTTTAAACCTTGTTATGTTGTTTAATAGGCGCTTACTGCAGAAATTGTCAAAACAATTCGGGACATCATTGCCTTGAACCCTCTCTATAGGTATGTATGTCCTACCCAATTCTAGGTCTGTCTTTTGGCAGTTCTTAGTCATGATCAGGCATTTTGGGCCTTCATATCATAAGATTTGCTTCAGAATTGCAGGTTGATTTGTTGAAGATGATGATGATGAAGAGCAACTTTGAAAACACGGCAAATGGTCCAAGTACATAAGTTTGATTGGATTTAGGCCAGAATGTAACTTGACCAGTGGATGAAAGTGTTAGCCTTACTAAGCTGCAGGACTGGGTGTGCATCACTTACATAGATCCTCCCTGCATTAACTCTGGTTTTAGCCACCAATAATTTCTCACTTTATTTAGTAAACTAAGGAGATTTGGTTCCTCAATATATTACAACTAGACAGGAGAAAAGAATCTCAGCTCAGAATTTCAGAGTCAGATGGCTCCTTTTTTCTAATTCAGCTTAATCAGTATTGATTCCTAACTTCTATTTCCTATAAGGCATCCAGTAATTAAAGTAAGTATTCTCTTAGTGCAAAACGTTTTAATTTTTGATTCTGATTGATCTTTTCAGGGAGTCTGTGCTTCAGATGATGCAGGCAGGGCAAAGAGTGGTAGATAACCCAATCTATCTGAGTGACATGGGAGCTGCGCTAACAGGGGCAGAGTCTCATGAATTGCAGGACATCCTGGAGGAAACTAATGTAAGATGAAACTTAAATCATTTATGTAATTTAGATTTTTATTTCAAACAGATACATTGTCCTCTGTGCAGAGGATGTGAGCATTATGTAAGGAGAGGAGTTGACTTCAAGAGACGATGGAGTGTGTGTGTGTGTATGTCTACTAAGGATTAAATTTGAATAACAAGTCTACGCATTTTATGACATATGCATGTTTCATAGAATATTTAGTGATCCAACACAAAGCCAAGCTAGGTATTAGGGCACTAAAAGATTCATTTTAATTACTTTTTGTATCTTTTGGGAGAGGAGGATCACTGCAGGAGGGCTTTATCACTGACAACTTGTCCCTTTTTGGCAAACACTAAATTATCTCTTGAGAGTTGCAAAACTGTAGAACTCTTGGTTCAGAGATTATACCTTTTATTAGACCAAGCTTTTGGGCACACGCGTCCTTCCTCAGGCTCAGAGAAAATTAAAGATGGTAAAAAGTCCCCATAGGTAGAAAATAAACTTCATTTTTGCACAGAGGAAGCTGAAGGTGGAAGTCTGTTCCTCTGGGTCTATGAGAGTTGTTCTTTGATGTGCAGATAAGGCAGGATTCCTTCTCTGGTGGTGTCAGATAGCAAAAAGACAGGGAGGTATAGAAATCTTTCTTGTTGTTCAGCAAAGAAGTTTAAATCCAAAATTGGCTGATTTCTTAGTTGGTCTAATAAAAGGTATCATCTCTGAACCAAGAGTTCTAGAGTTTTGCATTTCTTTTAGTCTCAGACCAACACAAGCTACCTAATAAATCTCTTGAGAGTTAAAACCTTTATCTTGTTATTTCTAGATGAATGACACTGGAACCAGAAAGAGGTAACTTGCATTCTAATATGTAGGAGGCTTCTATTTCATATGATTTGATGGGAAAGTAGTCTACATATTGCTAATCTGTGAGTAGGAAGATTTTCTCAATCTTCCCAGAACTGGATGCTGAAAAGTTTCCACAAGTTTCTTCTATGAACCTACCACCATCCAACAATCCTTACTACTTTTGATTTTGGGCCATAGGCTGTTTTGCCAAGTGGCAGCTGTAGTGTGTGCAGTGTGAAAACTTATGTTGCTTCTTTCCAGATTCCTAAACGGTTGTATAAAGCCCTCTCTCTCCTGAAAAAAGAATTTGAGCTGAGCAAACTTCAACAACGCCTTGGACGAGAGGTGAGACTTTAAAAGGATGGCATATATATCCTCTTTCAAGTTGATATCATGCTTATCACTCATATCTGAGGATCAATAGCATACAATTATGTAACGTGGGCATACACTCCCAAAAGAAAAAAAATGTTTATTACAGTAATACAGGCTCAAATTCTGAATCTTTAGTAGATTTCTCCATTTTGTTTTTAAGAATCAAATCAACACTGCCAATTATAACTAGCACTTTACCAAATGTGTAGGTTACACATATTATTTCCTAGTAATAATTTGCTTGTAGCTTAATTTCTCGTGTGTGTGTGTGTGTGTGTGTTTTGGAAAGTAGTAAAATCCTAATAATCATAGAATGTAGGCTGGAAGGGACCTCAGAAAATCATCAGGTCTAGCCCCCGTGCACCAAGCAGGAAAGACAACTGGGGTCAAGTGACCCCCACAGCAAGGTGACTGTCCAGTCTCCTCTTGAAGATTTCCAGGTTAGGCTATTGCACAACCCCTGGAGGGAGCTTATTCCACAGTCTGGACACCCTGACTGTGAAGAAATTTTTCTCCTGGTTCCAGGAGTTTGTGGCCATTGCTCCTGGTTATCCCCAAGGGTGTCCTGGTGAACAGTTCACCAAGCCCTTGATGTACTCTCCTGATATAGCAGTAAGCTGCTACCAAGTCCCCTCTCAGCCCTCTCTTCTTCAGGCTGAAGAGTAATAATATAAAACCTGGTCACATAATATTGGCTGGGAATTGGAAGTAGACATGGTGTATGTGAAAAGAAGAGGATTGAAATTTTAACAAGTATTTCATTTGCAAAATTATTGTTTGCAAATGAGCTAGCAGTAGTAATACATGCAAACTTATTTTACTGATAGCCATTGTAAATTGCAGCTGTCTTTTTGATTGTGGTAGGTTTAAATTGGAGTATGATAAACATTTTCAAAATGGGATGTGAGCCAACTAACTTCAAAGGCACAGCATGCATACCAAATTCTTGTGTGTGCTAGACAAATCCAAGAGCCTGTGTAGGTAAGAAGAGGTGTTATGCATTATCTAAAAGCTGGAGCAGAAATCTTTTAGCCAGGATCCCTGAATTCTATTGCTTTGTCACCAGTTTCTGTGGTTTTGAGCAACCTTCTATTTTTCTTATAAGGAAAATCCCCCCCCCCCCCCCATCCAATGAAGAAACTTAACAAATCATTTTCAGAGTTCTGTGAGTAGGGACCTACTTAATTCCTAGTTTCACAAATTTTGCAAAAACAAATCAGCAAAACCACCCAAAACATAATATAAATAAAATACTGGCTCCTCCTCGCCACCAGGAGGAGAAGGCGCAAGCTGATGGGGGCAGCACAAAGAGCAGCAGACAAGATGGCAGCTGCCCCCTTGTCCTTGCTCCCTGCCGAGGCCTCTCTGCTAATCCACGCCAAGGGGCGGGGCCACACAAAGGGCAGCCAGAAATCTAGATGGCCGCCACCCCCTCGTCCCTCCTTCCCATGGGGCCTCTTCGCCAGTCAACATCGGGGCGGGGTTTATCTGCCAATCAGGACTGAGAGGCAGGGCTGCAACAATATGACTGGAATTAGAACTTTACACCACGATCAACTCACAAAAATTGGTAAGTTCCCCTGTTCTTTAGGTAGACCTTACCCATAAGGTCCTACAGAAAAAACATGACAATAATAGACCTCAAAAGATCTGACTCAAACTGTGTAATATGCATCTACTAATATAAGTTGCATATACTGATAGACCAGGTAACTTTTTGCTACTCCTCCTTGCAGCAGGGTGGGGATGGAGGAGGAGAGACTTTTTTTTACTTTTTAAACCTTAAGTATAAGGGTACGTAGCCCTCCCCAGGGCCAAGCGTGAAACACTTGTTATCAACAAAGAATGCTGGGTTACCAGAGATTGAAACTATCTTCCCACATGCCCCTCAAGGGATGACGCATGTAGGAACAGCTGTCTTTTTCCATCTCGGAGAGTGGCCCCTTGATGGTCCAGTGCAGCACAAATGGGTCCACGTTTTGTTGCAAGGTGAAGTGTTCACAGTCAAATGTGAAATATGCATGGACTACGAAGTGGAAGAGTCGGAGGGCATCATCAGAGCTGACCTCCCGTGAGTGGGTTTTTCAGGGTTGCCAACTTGGTCTGGCCCAGTAGGGAATTGGCCAGGCAGATCATGTTCCCCTTGGTCACTCGATATGGGATAGAGAAGATGTGCACAGTCTCAGAGAAATCCAAGTCCAGTGTGCCAAAGAGGGTGATGAGGGAGCAGCAAAGAGCAGCTGCAATTGTGGGCAGTTGAAGAAGGTATGGAAGAGAGTCTCCTCCACTTCCTTCTTGCCAAAAGGGCAGGCTGCCAATGATGCTGGGTCGAAGTGACAGACAAACATGTCTATGGCCAGAGCCCCATGCAATAGTTACCGCTGGTGATCACCAGTTCTCTTGGTGCTGGGTAGCTTGTACAGGGTGCACCAGGCTAGGCAGGCTTCCTTTGGTGTTGCTGCCACCAGGCAGTGCCTTCCAGTCATGTTAGGGCAGGCAACAAGGACATGGGCATGAGGCACTCTGATTGTCCATGTGTAAAGTGCCTTCCCAGACAGCATCTGAAGGCAGAGCCCACCATGGTTCTTGCTGTGTACGGGGAATGGTTCCTGCCATTCTCATTGCTATCTGTCCACAGCTGCAGAAATAGGCAGCAGCAGAGGGGGTCTTTCTAGCAAGATGCCATCATGGAGGTCTTGTTATATACGGAGGTGCATCCCTGGGGAGGACAGCTTTAATTTCAGCCAAGAGGCACAAAGCAAAATGGACAGAGTGCAGACCCAGCCAGTCAGCGTTTGCCAGGCACAACAAGCTGAGGCACACCAAGCCGAGTCAAAAGGGTGGGTTAGCTTGATGGTGTGTGAACAGACCAAGGAGACAATGAGGCTTTCAGAGCTGGAACTCAGTGCCCCCTGCTGCAAGGCCAAGTTGTGGGTCGGGGGCTTTCACAGCAGCTCCGGAAATTGCAGGTTTCTGCCCTAGGGTCTGAGTCAGAGATAAACCTGCTAGACCCAGGCAAGGGCAGAAGGGCATCCCAGCCAAGGTGATTAGGATCCAATAGGAAAAAAACGTTCCAGTTAAGTTCCCCCACCCAAGAGCAAGAGCGAGTGTCAGGGAGGCTGGACAAGAAACATCTGTGAGCCTCCTTCAGTTCTCACTATACTGCTACCCAGGGGAAATCCAAACCTGCTATTCTCTTCAGCAACCCTTAAATGATTCTTTTTTTCCCCAACTTCATGAAGAACTCTAATCTGTTTTTCTGATTCAAGGATGTTCCTAAAAGGACACCAGTATAACAGAGCAAGGCACTTCATGCCTGTTACCATGCCTCATAGCAGGATACCTGATGCCTATTCCAATGGCTCTGCTTTAACTCCTGCAAGGGGCATAGAAGTCAGTCCTCTTTGGGCACCAGGTTTAACTTTGAAGCCTATGCTTTCTTGTAGTGACAAAATACCAGAAGTTATTCAGCACTTAAAATTACTTTAGGTAAAAGGAGAGTTACTTTTCTTTTCTTTTCAGATATCTTGCACAAGTACAGGGATGAAATGAATGACCTTTAAGGATAGGTTGTGAGAACATTACTGCAAATGGCCTCTTATAACAGAGGACCTATACTTTGAGGGAATGGAACTGTTCAGTCAGAGGTCAGATGAACTGCTCCATTGTTATGTTCCCTGGGAATTTGATGAATAGCTTCTGCCAGGAGGCCCTATAGTTACTAGCCTCAAAACATGTAGAAGGCACCATTTTACTACAGACACTAACAGAGTACCAACAAAAACTTGATTTTTTTTTCTTCAGATTGCTTTTCTTCTGCTTCCTTAACCAATCCAGTATCTCAGAGGCAGAAGATTTGACACAAGTGTTAAATTCTGCTACAACTCTACAACTTCTGTCTGTCCTGCTCTATTTATTTGTTTAAGATTTATATGCTGCCCTTCCCAGCAAAAGCTCAGAGCAGCTTACAATAAGGGAACAGAACAATTTATAAAATAGGAGAGCAACAAGAGAAAAGTTATCAACTATAGAACAAAACATAAAAGGGGAATAAAACAGAGACCCACTAAGCAATGTCTCAGGATAGCTTTGTTTGCTATATGCTTACTTAAATGTCCAAGTTTAAACTCTGTTTCAGAGCTGGGGAGCAACTGCCAAGAGTGGCCTCTGTTGCATTTCCACCAGGTGGACTTGACATACTGCTGGTACTTCTTGCAGGAGATTGCTCTTTGCTGCCCTTAGGGATTGTGATGAGGTGTAAGGGAGAAAGCTGTCCTTGGGTATGTAGGGCTAAGACTGTTTAGGGCAGGAGTGTCAAACATATAGCCTGTGGGCCAGATCTGGCCTGGTGCTGCTCCTGGGCCTGATCAGACTCACATAGGGTATAACATGCCCATGGTTTAAGGCTTTATAGTCCAAACCAGCATCAGATTTCACCTGGAAAACTATTGGGAGCCAGTGCAAACTCTGGAGCAGTGGAGTTACATGCCCCTAGTGATCCAGGCCAGAAAATGTCACTGTTGCCCCTGTATCAAACTCTGGAACTTGAGTTAGACCAGTGATTTCCCCAGCCTTCACTGTTCCTGGAATATATCTTATACTTTATTATCCTTGTCAACCTGTTTTATCTCTGTAATTTCCTGTGGCCATGATCCATGTTAAAGGGCCTCGTAGACAACATGTTGTCCATGAGCCATGGATTAGTGATCACTGTGTTAGACTGAAGCCTGTAAAGCTTTCAGAGAATAAACTTTTGTCCCATGGGGACTAGAAGAGACTGAGGTGCCTGATGCTGGACACTGACTGAGTGCTGGTCCTCGCAGTAGCTGGGGATTAATTAGATTATAGATGCCCTGATAATCCTAACTGGCAAACTATATGTCATGCTACAGAGGAGAATGCAAATTCTGCTAAGATCCTTGCCAGCCTAATGTGGGGGAAACATTTTGCTAAATCCAGATCTAGTGATC